GGCGGCCGCTGGTGGGCTGCGGCCCTTCAGTGAGTGCGTGCCCGTCGGTACCTCTGCAATACTGAGGGGATGTTCCTCACGGGTTGCAGAAAAACGCGACTGTGGGTGCAGGGTCCCGCGCGCGCTGTGGGTAGCAGCGAGCAGTACTGAAGGCTGCAGCGTGTGTGGGTGGTGCTCGCGCTGCGGGGGCAGATGCCACGGTGATGGGCTGATCCGAAGTCTTGCCCATTCCTTTAGACTTCACTGGGTTTGTAACTTAACTTCAGTAGTGGTCAGGCGATAGGTGCTGGTTGTGTGGCATCTTAAGCTTTTGGGGCAGTGCTGCGTCCCTTCTAACGCTTTGGCCATTCCTACCTTTTCTTGTCGCCCCGCTTGTGCTAGCACTGCTGTTGTCTTGTACTCCTGTAAGCTAACCAGAGGCATGCTATGGTTATTTTTTTTCTCATGTAGGGTTACTTTTTAGTTGGCTCATCTCACTGAATTGAGGTGAATTCAGAAGAGGGGATAGAATCAGAATAATTAGCTTAAATTGACATTGAACGTAGCTCTAAGCTCCAGTATTACGTGTAATTTTCTTAGTGTTACAAACATAAATTTTTCTCTTTAGGCAAACACAGGAAACATCCTGGAGGGCGTGGTAATGCTGGTGGTATGCACCATCACAGGATTAACTTTGATAAATAGTAAGCTAACATTTTAAATATATACTAGCAAAATGTATGTTTCTGAAGTAGAAACAACTAACTTTTATATGTGAATAAACAAAATTCCCTGCAATCCTATGTGTTTTTTCCTCTAACATGAAGTGTGGTGTTATAGCTACAGTCAACTCATGTCCCCATTTACCCTAAAATCAAAAGCATTTTCTCTTAAACCAGGTTTCTTTAAGAGTTCAATGCAGCATTCGGTAAAGTTGACCAAATTTGCCTGTTACAACGTGGTCCATGCTTAATGATGCAGACACAAAATGTTACATAAATTCAAAATGTTATGTTAAATCCAAACTGCATCCTGCTTAGCTGTGTACTGTAAAGGTAAGGGATGTTGTCTTTACTTATTGCCGAGACTAGAGTCACATCTGGACACTGCCTGTTGTCCTGGTGTGCTAGAGTACTCGGACAGTAACCACTAATCTATATTCACTGGCTGTGACCATTCTTGACTCAGCCAGTCACCAGGTTAGTGACAGGAGCGCTGAGACTCCTCTGGCAGCGCAGCCCTCCCTGGATTCACGGGGCTGGGGATGCCCCGGAAATACGGGGCTGGACCAGACTCACCAATGAGGGGGATGGAGTTGTGAGTTCAAGGGAGAACAAACGCTTCAAGAGGAGATAATTTTCCCTTGGTTTGGGTGCTAATGATTATTACAATTAAATTCTACATGTATTAATATGAATAAAAGTATAATGTGACATTTTGATTACTTTGACCAAGTAAGATGCTTGTTTCAGTCTCAATTTGTAATCCTACCTGTTCAGGATGAATTAAAATGTGTTCTATTGAGGAATGTGTTTCTTTCACAGTCACCCTGGTTACTTTGGAAAAGTAGGCATGAGACATTATCACTTGAAGAGGAACCAAAAGTTCTGTCCTACTGTCAATTTGGATAAACTCTGGACACTTGTCAGTGAACAGACAAGGCTCAATTATGCAAAGAACGAGGCTGGACTGGCCCCAGTCATTGATGTTGTGCGCTCAGTAAGTTTCTGCTCATAGTCAAACCTGCAATGCCTGGTCGCTTCATGTGTAACTTAGCTTTGTGTATCCGAGTAGGAAAATGGTGAACTGCAAATAAGCTACGGTGCTTGAATATTTGTGAACTTCTCAGGACAAATATTTTGGCATATAAGTAGTTACACAGGTACTTACGCTGTTACATTTTTTTTTCCTGTAGGAACTTTTTCTCATACTTGTGTGTGATTGTGGACAGGGACTTCTCTTATTTTGGAAGGTGGTGAAAGATTACTTGTTTAAAATGTAACTGAAAGCATGTGTTAAAAACATGGCAGAACTAGTCTCATCTATATAAAGTCACTTCTCTAATATCGAGACTAGAGTCACATCTTAACACATTTGATTGTCTTGGTGTGCTATAGTTCTCGGACATAAACGTCTGATCCCTATTCACTGGCTGTGATGTCTTCTATCTCAGCCAGCCACCGAATCAGTGACACTACCTAGTCTGCTGAGTGGGCATGTTCTGTGTCCCAAATTAAGATACCTGTGTTGGCCAGTTATGCCACTTCTTCTAACAAGGGATGATTTCACAGTATTTTCTGTGTATGGAGTATGGGGAAAAAAACCCCAGCTTCTAAATTACAGGAAAAGTTCAGTTTACAGTTTTCACTTTTTCTCTAAACAAATGCAACTCCACTAGATCATGCAGGGTATTCTTCTTTCATTCATACCAATTTTATATTGGAGACAGATGCTGAATGAGGTCATGGTGACCACGATTTTGGCTTTAACTGGTGCATGCTAAAAGACAGGTCTGAATGTAGGAGCCTGCAAGCTGATTACAAACACTTAATGGGTTTTTTAAATCTTTCTAGGGCTACTACAAAGTCCTGGGCAAGGGGAAGCTGCCCAAGCAGCCTGTAATTGTGAAAGCAAAGTTCTTCAGTAGAAGAGCAGAGGAGAAGATCAAAGAAGTTGGTGGTGCCTGTGTGCTTGTGGCATAAAAGCCTTTGTTTTATTCAAATTTTTTGAATAAAGACAATGTGTAAAATGTGCTGATTTACAGAAGTTTCTGATTTTTTTTTTTTCCCTGACTTGTCCAGACGCTGGTCACATTTAAGTCTTGTCTGCTTAGTTATTTCTGGCAGTTTTTGATGAGTGGTTTAACTGCTTTTTACTATCTCTTGAAATTGTCTGGCTACAGTGTCGAGCATTTGGCCTGTACAAATACGTTATCTTTTTGTCTCTATGGGGTAGCAAAATAGACCGGTTCTTCCTGTATTTGTGCAGCTCTTTCAATTGGTGATCCTCTTTACAGCTGTCTGTGGACAGTCACCTGAAAAGGTGACTTCACATTCCATTGATGGGGATATTTGTACACTTAAGATGACATCTAGGTGAAACCTGTGGGGATACTGCCTTGGCCTTTGGGAGTGAAACACCAAGAGTGCGGACAAAGAAATGCAATGGAACAATGCAAAGTGGGTAGCAGTATACCAAAAATTGCTGTGTGAAGGAGACTCAGTATGGGAAATTGCTATCAATAAGCTTTGTGATCAATTGGCTTCTTTTTGGGATAGCAAAGCAATTCTAGTCCCATTTCTACTATGGTGGAGTATAGGAGGGAATGAAGGGGAAATCCCTGGGAATAGTGTGGGACAGTAGGGAAA